CTTCTTCCTCCTCCTCCTCCTCCTCCTCCTTCTCCTCCTCCCCCGAAGTTTGTCCTCCTCTTCCTGGCTTGGGTAGTTGAGAGGGGGGCGCGCAGCACGGAGGACGCGCATCGCGAGGCGAGGAGCGAAAGAGGAGCCCCTCCGCCCCGGCAGCGGCGACCCCGAGGTTCGCTGGCAACCCGCCGCCCACGCCGCCGCCCGAGCCCGCGCAGGAGTACTGGGGCGGAGGCCCAGGGGAAGGGGTCGAGGTGCGAACTCGCCGCCTCCTCCTCCTCCCCATCCTCCTCTGCCTCCTCCTCCTCCTCCTCCTCCTCCCCTCCTCCTCCTTTTCCTCCTCCTCTCCTCCTCCATATCTGCCTCCTCTTCCTCCTCCTCCTCTGCATCCTCCTCCAATTCCCATTCCTTCTCCTCCTCCTTTCCTCTCTGCTTCCTCCTTAATCTTCCTTCTCCTCTTCCCCTCCTCCTCCTCATGCCTCCTCTCCTCTCCTCCCATTCCTACCCTTTTGTCCCTCCTTCTCCTCATCCTCCTCCTCCTCCTCCTGCCTCCTCCTTCTCATCCTCCTCCGCCTCTCCTTCTCCTCCTTTCTTCCTTCTTCTCCTGTGCCTCCTCCTCCTCCTCCTCCTCCTCCTTTCCCCCCTCCTCCTCCTCCTCCTCCTTCCTCCTCCTCCTCCCCCTCCTCCTCCTCCTCCTCCTCCTCCTCCTCCTCCTCCTCCTCCTCCTCCTCCTCCTCCTCCTCCCCCTCATTCTCTTCCACCCCCACCTCCTCCCGCCCATGGGAAGGGGAAGTGCCTACTCGCAAACGCCCGAGACAGAATTCGCTGCCTCGGCGTAAGGGATCGTAGGCCCCCCGCGGCGGATCCTGGGGCCATTTGCCAGCAGTTACTTTTGCGAGTCGTGGAGCGCGCTTGTCTACATGGGAAGGGGTCGGGGTGCGAGGTGAGTGAGGAAGTCGAAGAGCAAAACACCGCATAGACAAAAAAATCGACGCTCTGCGCTGATTTCTTTCATCGGCGCTGGTCCCCCCTGGCGGCTCCTCCAGCGCCGCCCTTGGCGCGCTCCGCTCGCCAGGGAGGGGGTCCACCGTCGATCCAAGACATCCGCGCGGACCGTCGAAAGCTTATGCTTAAGCAGTTGTTTCCCCAGCCAGCTTGCTGAACGGGGTGCTGTTGCGATAGAAGTATTATACGGCCAACGGGATGGGGAGCAGAGACATTCTCAAAAACTTCTAGACGCTTCGCGTATCCCCAGCAGACCATCCAGACACGATGCCCAGGAAAGTTGACGGAGGAAGGGAAGAAGAGACGCACATGGTGAACCAGAGCGGGCAACAACGTTGAATTGGGAGATCTTTTGTGGCGAAGGTTGCAAGTGTTACTGTTGGTGCTCTTGCTCCTGCTGGTAAAGCTGCTGCAATTGCTGCTGCTAGTGCTGCTGCTGTTGCTGCTGAAAGTGCTGGTTCTCGGATGATGAGTAGGCGGATAATTGGGAGGAGGAGGAGGATAATGAGGAGGAAGGAGGAGGAGGAGCAGGAGGCGGAGGAGGAGGGGAGGAGGAGGAGGAGAAGAAGGAGAAGGAGAAAGAGGAGGAAACATGACGAACATACGATCTTCTTAGGATGTCTCTTGGGAGTTGTTGTGGAAACCTTTGGGAGCGTCTGGGGGGGATCTTGGGGGCCTCGGGGATCCTCTTGAAGCCTCTTCGGGGTCTCTTGGAGGTCTCCTGAAAGCCTCTCGGAGCCCCTTGGGATATCTCTTGGGCGTTTTTTTTGAGGCCTCTTGGGACGCCTTGGGGGTCTCTTGGCGGTCCTGAGGGACTCTTGGACGCATCGGGGAGGCCTCTTGGGCCCGCTTGGGGTCCTTTTGGGGCCGAGGCCATTTTGGACGCTCCAACGGAACCCCCCCGTGCAGGTCCATGGGAGGGGGTAGGGGGAGGGGTCAAGTCACCCCCTCCCCGCCCGCAAGCCGTCTCGCTCACTCCCACCCGCCCTCCCAACACATACGTAGCACCCGAGTCTGGCCCGAGCCTCAGCATATTCAGCAGTCGTCTTTGGATGGGCAGCTACTGGGGACCAATCCGCCGCCGCCGCCGCCGCCGCCGCCGCCCGCCGCCCGCCCGCACCGCCGCCCCGCCCGCAGCGCCGCCGCCGCGGCCGCGCCGCCGCCGCCTGTCGCCGCAGCCGCCGCCGCCTGTCGGCCGCCAGTGGCCGCCGCCCGCAGCCGCCGCCGCTGCCGCTGCCAGCGCCGCCTCCGCCACCGCCGCCGCCCCCCGACTGCCAAACCGCCGCCGCCGCTGCTGGAGCTGCGCTGCCGCCACTGCCGCCGCCGCCGCCGCCGCCGCCGCCCGCCCGCCGCCGACAGCCCCGCTGCCGCCGCCGCCGCGCCGCCGCCGCCGCCGCCGCCGCCGGCCCGCCGCCGCCGCCCCCGCCGCCGCCGCCGCCGCCGCCGCAGCCGCCGCCACCGCCGCCGCAGCCGCCGCAGCCGCCGCCGCCGCCAAGTGTACTCTGTATGGTTTTTTGACAGGGATGTTTGGGGGGGGCCGCATCGGGTTGGGCTGCGCATGTTCCGAATTTGGAGGCAGAGTGTGTTTTGTCATGTTTTTTACAAGACATGGTGCGGGGGGTGTCGGCATGGACCTTGGTTGGCCCCCAGTCGCCTGGGGGAGGGGGTGTTTATTAATGGGGAACAGTGATCAAGACTCCCTCCCCGCCTGCAACCCGTCTCGCTCACTCCCACCCGCCCTCCCAACACATACGTAGCACCCGAGCCTGGCCCGAGCCGCAGCATATTCAGCAGTCGTCTTTGGATGGGCAGCTACTGGGTGTATATAAATATGGAACTGTGATACAACCCTTCCCCGAAGGGGAAGTAGGAGGGGTAGCAGAGGAAACACTCTAGACCACCGACGCCCAAAGGGCTGGTGGGATATCTGGTGGTCGGGGCCTTGTCGCTTGAGAGACATCCTCACAACGCTCGTTTCTGAGCTGTCCGCGATTGGCCGTTTCGCCTCCGACAGATTCTCATATCCAGGCCCCGGGCCGCCGCGCGCGAGGTGGTCCCGGCCGTCTTGTCTGAGACACCCCCGAGACTCTCAGCCCCGAGCTGCCGCGCCAGAGGTGGTCCGGCGCGTTGGCCGAGACATCCTCCCAACTCTGAGCCCTGAGACGCCAGGCGCGGGGTGGTCCGGCGCGTTTCGCCTGAGGCATCCTCACAACTCTGCGCTGCGAGCTGCCGCGCGCGAGGTGGCCCGGCGCGTTCCGCCTGAGGCATCCTAGCAATTCAGTGCTACGAGGTGCTGCGCGCGAAGTGGTCTGGCGCGTCGCCCCTGAGACATCCTCGCAGCTCTGAGCTCCGAGCTGCCGCGCAAGAGATGGTCTGGCGCCTTTCGCTTGAGCCGTCCTCGCACACCTCTGCTCCGAGATGCTGCGCGAGAGGTGGTCCAGTTTTGTTGTTTTCGATCGAGACATCCTTGTAAGTTTGAGCTCTGATCACATGTGCGCAAGGTTGTGTGGCCAGCTTTGCCCGAGGCACTCGCAATGCGGCGCTCCGAGAAGGTGCTGTGGGCGAGACGGTCTGGTCCGCTTTGCCCGAGGCATCCTCGCCACTCTGGGCTCCGAGAGGGAGGAGAAAGGAGGGAGGAGGGGTCAGGAGGAGGAGGAGGAGGAGGAGGAGGAGGAGGAGGAGGAGGAGGAGACGAGGAGGAAGGAGGAGGAGGAGGCGGAGGAGAAAGGAGGAGGAGGGGGAGGAGGAGGAGGAGGGGGAAGAGGCGGAGGAGGAGAGGAGGAGGAGGAGGAGGAGGAGGAGGAGGAGGAGGAGGAGGAGGAAGGAGGAGGAGGAGGAGGAGGAGGAGGAGGAGGAGGAGGAGGAGGAGGAGGAGAGAGGAGGAGGAGGAGAGAGGAGGAGGAGGAGGAGGAGGGAGGGGAGGGGGAGGAGGAGGAGGAGAGGAGGCGAGGAGGAGGAGGAGGAGGAGGAGGAGGAGGAGGAGGAGGAGGAGGAGGAGGAGGAGGAAGGAGAGGAGGAGGAGGAGGAGGAGGGGAGGAGGAGGAGGAGGAGGAGGAGGAGGAGGGGCGAGGAGGAGGAGGAGGAGGAGGAGGAGAGGAGGAGGGGAGGAGGAGGAGGGAGGAGGAGGAGGAGGAGGAGGAGGAGGAGGAGGAGGAGGAGGAGGAGGAGGAGGAGGAGGAGGAGGAGGAGGAGGAGGAGGAGGAGGAGGAGGAGAGGAGGAGGAGGAGGAGGAGGGAGGAGGAGGAGGAGGAGGAGGAGGAGGAGGAGGAGGGGAGGAGGAGGAGGAGGAGGAGGAGGAGGAGGAGGAGGAGGAGGAGGAGGAGGCGGAGGAGGAGGCGGAGGAGGAGGAGGGAGGAGGAGGAGGAGGAGGAGGAGGAGGAGGAGGAGGAGGAGGAGGAGGAGGAGGAGGGGAGGAGGAGGAGGAGGAGGAGGAGGAGGAGGAGGAGGAGGAGGGAGGAGGAGGAGGAGGAGTAGGAGGAGGAGGAGGGGGAGGGGGAGGGGGAGGGGGAGGGGGAGGGGGGAGGGGGAGGGGGAGGAGGAGGAGGAGGAGGAGGAGGAGGAGGAGGACGGAGGAAGGAAACGGGAAGCGGAGGAGGAAGAACGGAGGCGTGAGGAGGAGGAGGAGGAGGAGGAGGAGGGAGGAGGAGGAGGAGGAGGGCTTACCAGGGGGAGCCATGCTGGAGCAACCCGTGGAGATGCCTCGGGCGATGGGGGAGGAGAGAGGGAGGATGCCCGAGCTCCGGGATGCTGCGCGAGAGAGGCGGTCCAGCTCGTGCCGCCCGGGGCAGCCCTGCAGTGCTGGGCTCCGACACTCTGGCCCCCTGCGCTGGAGGCGCGCTCGCAGTGCGGCGCTCCGAGGTGCTGTGATCGAGGTGGTCTGGCTCGTCTCGCCTGAGGCATCCTCCACTGTTAGGGCTCTGGGGGGGGGAATAGTCAGAGTCAAACAAATCATGTGATTCTGCATCTGTTGTCGGATTGTGCTCAGGGAGGGGTCTTGGCGCCGCCTGAGACATCCTCGCGACTCTGAGCTCCCAGATGTCGCGCGCGAGGCGTGTCCCGCCTGAGGCATCCTCGTGACTCTGGGCTCCTTGAAGATGTGCGCGGGGTGGTCCAGCCCGTATCGCCTGAGACATCCTCGCGATGGGGCTCTCAGGAACTGGTCGCGAGGTGGTCTGGGGCGATTCGCTCGAGACATCCTCGCAACTGGGTTCCGAGATGCCGCGCCAGAGGTGGTCTGGGACACCTTCCAAGCTCTGGGCTCCGAGAGGGAGGAGAGAGGAGCGAGGAGGGGTCGGACCCAACCGAACCATTAGATTACACTTCTGCTGTCGATGTATGCGCCCTTGGCCCGACGGGGGGAGGTAGCTGGCGCCGCGGCGCGAGCACGCTTCCTTGGTAATTTGCTGGGGCTTATCAGGGGGAGCCATGCTGGAGCAATTCGTAGAGATGCCTCGACCAGTGAGCGGCGAGCAGGATGCGGAGGAGGCAGGATGCGGGAGGACAACGGTCGGAGGGGCGAGCTCTGAGATGGTGCGCGAGCGGAAAATTGGAGGATGGGACGGAACCGTGCTCACTTGGTTGAGGGTATGTGGATGAGGGTGCCTCTTGGAAGCGGCGTCGAGGGTTCGAGCGCCTGCCTGGTCTGGCAGAGGGAACTTAGAAGAGGAGGGACGAGAAGGATCAGGGGGAGGAGGAGGAGGAGGAGGAAGATGAGTAAGAGGAGGAGGAAGAGGAGGAGGAACACGACGGAGGGGATGATGTGGAGGAGGAGGAGGAGGATGATGAGGCGGAGGAGGAGGATGTGGAGGAGGTGAAAGTGGAAGAGGAGGAGGAGGATGAGGAGGAGGATGAGGATGAGGACGGAGAGGAGACGGAGGTGGAGGAGGAGGGGAAGGAGGAGGTTGAGCAGGAGGAAGAGGAGGATGAGGATGATGAAGATGATGATGATGCTTATGATGATGATGATGATGATGATGATGATGATGATGATGATGATGATGATGATGATGATGATGATGATGATGATGATGATGATGATGATGATGATGATGATGATGATGATGATGATGATGAGATGGCGGATGAGGATGATGATGAGGATGAGGATGAGGATGATGAAATGATGATGCTGGCTGACGATGGCTGATGATGAGTGATGCGATGATTATGATTATGATTATGATTATGATTATGATGATGAGTTGCTGATGCTACGATGCTGAATGCTAATGCTGATGGTTAGCAGGGGGAGGCCGGAGGAGGGGGAGGAAGAGGAGGAGGAGGAGGAGGAGGAGGAGGAGGAGGAGGAGGAGGAGGAGGAGGAAGAGGACGAGGAGGCGGAGAAGAAGGAACACGACGGGGAGGATGAGGATGATGATGAGGACGGATGAGGATGAGGATGAGGAGGAGGATGACGATGAGGGAGGATGATGAAGGATGGGGAAGGAGGAGGAGGAAGAAGGAGGAGGAGGAGGAAGAGGAGGAGGAGAGGAGGAGAGGAGGAGGATTTTGGAGGAGGAGGAGGATCGGGAGGAGGAGGAGGCGGAGGAGGAGGGGCAGGATGAGGATGATGATGATGAGGAGGAGGAGCGGAAAGAGACGGAGGAGGACGAGAAGGAGGAAGAGGAGGGGACGAAGGAGGAGGAGGATGAGGATGAAAAGGAGGAATGAGAGGATGAGGAGGGGGAGGAAGAGGAGGAGGAGGAGCGAGGAGGAGGAGGAGGAGGATCCTCTCCTCCTCCTCCTCCTCCTCCTCCTTCTCCTCCTCCTCCTCGGCCAGTCCAACAGCCGTTTCCCCCTGCCCCCGCCTGCCAGCTCCCAGGCCACGACGACTGGGGCGAGGAGGAGTACGACGCCGACGAGTCGGCTGGGAAGGGCTCCTCCAAGCGCAACAAGAGGAAAGGCCAGAAGGGGGATCAGGAGGAGGAGGAGGAGGAGGGGGAGGAGGAAGATGGGGGTCTCCGTTGCCACTTTGGCTCAAGATGTTGTGGCGCACAGTCGGTGTACGGTACATCCTTGATTGTGCAGCCTTCCTTGAGGAGGCGCACTTGTGTGCAAGCGTAAGCGGGATTGTTTTGTTCATATCATGCCTGTGTGTGGGATCTGTGGTTGTCGCAAGAACCTACACTGGTATACCTATTGCAAGCACTGCGGCGAGGCTTTGGCGCACGTGTCTCCCTCGTTGTTTCGCACGCCCTCGGGAGTGTGGAGCGACAGCAACAAGAATGGCAACGGCAAGCGTGGTGGCTATTCAAAGCAGCAGTGGGGTCATTGGCGTTCGTCGGCCACCACCACAGCTGTCCAGTTCCTCTCGGGTTCTGAGTTGCAGCCGCTGGTGGACATGCCAAAGACGAAGTTCGAGGCGGCCTCGCTCTTCATGTTGGCTGCCCAGAAGAAAGAGTTGCTCAATTGTCGGGCTCCGCGTATGGGCGATCCTGAGGTTGTGTCTCGTGTGGCTCAGCAGCAGCATACTGATGTGCGCAGCAAGCTTGCGAGCACACGCGTCAGGCTTGGCAATGCTGAGAAGGTCATGTCTGAGCAGTTCGACAAGGTGTGTGGGCCAAAGGCGCTGTGCCAGCAGCTCGGAGGGCAGGGGCAGCAGCTGGCGAGATATTCTGCTAAGGCCTGGTCCAAGGTTGCAGGCGCTGCTGGACCTGAGGATGCGGTTCTGCGCAGCTTCGGGGGTCTGGACCCGCGTATGGCGCTGGTGTTCAAGGCGGTGGTGGGGGCCAGAAGTGCAGCTACGCAGACAGCCTCACTTCCCGCAGCTGCAGGTGCTGACGCAGGCTCCAAGTCGCAGGCGCACGTCGTCGACAGTGACAGTGACCTCGACTCGTGCGACGATGCTTGGGCAGATGCTGATGGCATTGCCATCTCGACCGCGCAGATTCTCTTGCATACTTACACGTCGCAATGGGCGCTGGAGGCGCTACGTGACCAGAATATTCATCTTGGGTTGTCCACTGATCAGTGTCGTGGCATTGCGCAGGCTATGGTTGAGCCCATCAAGCGCAGTCGTGACGAACGCATTGAGTGGAGAGCCACAATGAAGTTGCGCGAGATTGTTGAGGATCCAAGTGAAACAAAACAAAACAATCAATAAAACAACGGCGCATCTTTAACATTGCCTCGCGTTCTACCTCGAAGCGGTGGTGTTTTCTCACCACCACAGGTCACTGCGTGGTCCATATTTGTTCACGTTCAAAGTGCGATGTCCATGTTCGACGTGATTGGTGTCCAGGGGGGCGCATATCAAACTTGAGCAAGGTGATTCCCATGTGGCTCTGTTGCGCAATTTTGGGTCGTCTGCCAAAGTCACTCATGGGGCTCCTTCGGGCACTGGAGGTCATGCAGGACGTCTTGGTTTCCTGGCTCCCTCGCGCACTGGGCTGTCCACTGTCTTGGGGCGCGATTCTGTTCTATGGCCTGGAAGGGCCATGGCTCTGCACATCGGTTGCGTTGCCAACGGCGGCATCGTCTTCGCTGCGATGTATCTTCGGCGCTCCTCGGGGCTGGGGGCGCTCAACTGGGGCGCCCTGAGCAAGGTTGGGTCGTTTGTCGGGGGCCACGGGCTCTTCAAGGGCCGCCGTGGCCATCCTCCGCCAGCCGACGGCGGCGGACAACTTGGGGGGTCTTGGGGGGCCAGGTCGCCGCATGGGTCGTTCTGGGAGCCTCAGAACTGCAGACTTGCCAGTGTGCCCACGGGCGCCTTCTGGGAAAATCTGAAAAACCTGAAGCCATTCATGCTCACATAGCTCAATAATGCGACTCCGCTTTCCCGAGACACTCGCCTCGCCACCCACTCCGTCGGCAACCTCGCCCCAGCGGGTGGGGGCGGCGGTAGCGCGCAGCCAGGAGGACCGCAGCAAGGAACCGACGACGAACCTGTCCCACCTGCGCAATTTCATCGGCTGGAAGCGCTCGGAGTGAAAAATTGACGGGGAAATGCGAAGCCGTTGGGATTTCAGGGCGGGCGACCACGGCACACTCGCGGGCGGGAGAATTAGTGATCACAAAACATCGGAACTATTGCTGGCAGGCCTGCACGCGCCACGATTGGCGCGAAACATTTTGGCGCCTAGCGCTGCAGGCCATCCGCTGCTCTGGGGGGAGACTGGTTCGAACTCCCAAGTCTGGGCGGACGCAGTCAATTGCATGCGTCGGCTGTCTCGCGCGCATGTTTTGCCGCAGGGGCCAATCTCTATGTGGCGTGGTCTCGACTTCTCGAGCGCGCCCGAGCTTTTCCGACGCCGGTTGCACAGCGGCCGTTGCCACGGGTTCGTCTGGCTGCCGAGAACGAGGCCAAGCGCGCCGCACAGCAGAATGGGATTGAGTGGAAAAGTTGGATAGATCGGCATGCCGAGAAAGGGGCCCCTGCTTTGCACGCGCATTCTGCGCTGCCCACGCCGAGGCAGCCTTCGCGCATGGAGCGCTCCACTTTGCGGCCCGCCGCGCCTCGTGAACAGATGAAGGCGTTGCAGGCCGAGCGGGAAGAATGGTGGCAATCAGAGCATCAGCATCCATCGGTCCACTGGCCTGACGATCTAGGAAGGATACCGCCACGGCCAGCGATTGAACATGTGAAATCGGTTTGGGAGTCCTTCATGGCCCCCGCGGGGGCCGGTTTCGACCAGTGCTCGCCCAGGGTCTTTCTGCTTCTTCCTGATGAAGCTATGGGGGGTCCCGTGTGGTATCGTTGGGGTTATTGAGAGACGATTGGAATGGCCCTCGGCGTGGAGACGTCTAGTGTTCATACTCAGGCGTCGAGGTTGTGTCAGACCTCTTGGGTTTCTTCGCGTGTCATGACGCGTCCAGGCTCGGCCCGGGAGGCACCTGGTGCACAAATTGCCAACGTCCGTCTTCCAGGGTTTCTGGTGGTCGGTCAAGTGCGACTGGATGTCGAGCGCGCGGTCTGAGCGCTCCACTGTCAGGGCATGTCTACTGCAACCATTTTGCACGATATTAGGAAGGCGTTCGAGCTTGTTCGCCACCATCACTTGAGTCAGGCCGCCATCAGGACTGGTTTTCAATTATGGATGCTCCGCCTCTCGGCTTCCAGTTATCGCGTGCTTTTGTTGGACATGCAGGGCATTGCCAGTGATGTGATGCGTGCTAAGCATACCATTGTACCTGGCTGTCATTTTGCAGCGTTGGCGCTACAAACTTCTGCTGTCGGGGCCGCTGCGTCAAGCGCAGTCCGGTTTCAGACGTGTCATGGTGGGCGTCAACGTGGGCGACTTCGTTTTGCAGCGACGTGGATCCCCTGATCGGGTTCATAAGGATCCTTCTTCTGTTGCCAACCTGCTCGCACCATTGCTATCTGCAGTGGATATCGGGCCTGGCTGTTGACAAGGGCAGGACTGTTTCCAACTGTATCAAGCTCCGACGCTGCCTCACGCGATTCCTTGCTAAGATCGGCATACTGGGCGTTGCCGCTGAGTGGGACCTTGGGGCGGGCTACTCTGCTTTGCGCGCTCGAGGCAATCCAGTTGGCGCAAGCGCGTGTCCATGATTCAGCAGGGCAGGCCGCGCAGGAAGCTGCTGGCGAGCATGGCGCGCGCTGCCCTCGAGGGCGCTGTGAGCTATGACGCTGCAGCGTTGGGCTTTAACAGCGGTGAGTCAAATCGCGTGCGATCGTTGGTTGGCAGTTCGCAGGATCACCAGCCCGATGGGCGTTCCAGCGCACTGGCCATGCTGCTTGTGCCGAATACTGAGTTGGATCCGGTATATCGTGCTACCTGGCTGCCGATGAAGTTTCTCTTGCAGTGCTGGTGGGGGGAATGGTTGCTGAGAAGATCTGCCGCGGTCGCTGCCAATGCCGCTGCCACTCATGTTGCAAGGCTGTCAACGCCGTGGCGGTCTATTCGTGGGCCTTTTCTCTGCTGCCGCTGCTGCGTTGCACCGAGTCGGGGTGGCTGTTGTATCGATGACAGCGTGGTCTCTGCCTGGCGGCTCCGCCCTGAGTCCCGCCGAGGCTCGCGCCGCTGTCATTCGCAGGTTGCTTCATCTTATGTGTGTCCGCTGGCGGCCAAAGCAAGTTGCAGGGCATCTGGGTCTACTTGAGCTTGGGCGTGGCGTCTTGATTCAGCCCGTTGTCAAATTCCCTCGGTCCGAGGCTCCTGCCCAGCAGCGTGCTTGCGGGCGGTCCTGTTTCATCCGGGCGCAATGGCCGATGCATCGGCAGTTTGCAGCGGGCTACGATGTCTAACCCAATTGCAAAGTTTGCGTGCAGGTGCGTGGGCCCGGGGTGAGTGGCGCGCTCCTGCATCGGCACACCTCTTGCGAGTGTGCTGTTTGTTAGCTGCGCGGGGAAAGGCCCGCCCTCCTTCATGCCTGGCCTCGCTCAGGCCGCGGTGCCCCCCCCGCTAACGTGTCTTTTGGCAGAGAGGTGCATTGTTCCCATGTCCGAGCTCCACTGTCCCCGTGTTAAGAACATTATGTCCGAGTTCTGGCGACATAGGTTCTCATGTAGATCTCACAGGGGATCTGTTCATTGACGGATCGCTCTTTGAAAGCGCCTGGCCAGAGCATGTGGCTGCAGGCTGGGCTGTGCGCGCGCTCTCGTCGTGGTCGTTTGGTCGTCGTGCGCCTCGTGAGCCAAGGGTCATAGCCTCTGGCCCTTCCGCCCACCAGAGAAGTTGAGCTGACTCAGTTTTGTTTTGCCCTCAGGCATGCTGTGCCAGGCAGTGTTATACATGCACTGCCAGCGATTCCGCGCGGAAAGGAGTTTGTGTGCGGGGACAGCAGGATTGTTGCCATCGCCTTTCTTCTCATGCTATTTTGCGGCGTGAAGTTTGGAGGCTGGTTCATTGTGGAGGTGTTGATGACCTCACCCGTCTCGCTGTTAAGCTCAAGTCTCACCCTTCTGTGTAAGATCTCCGCCTTGGACGTACCACGCGGAGG